CCCCAAAACCCCAAAACCCCAAAACCCCAAAACCCCTAAATTATTATATTTTATAGAACAATAAATAAAATGAGCATACCTCTTCAAGCTCTCGAGTCCAGGTATATTAACACCAAAAACCCACCACACAAAATCCCTAACCGCAGGTAACCTCTCTTCAAGAATCCTCTACCTAAAAATATCTTTAACAGCACTATTGCCTGGCTATCTTCAGATTAAGCCCAGGATATACCCTTTTAAAGGACTGTTTTCGCTTCTGGCTTTTAAGCTAGTTTTAGCTTGAGACACTCGGATTTAGAGCGACCAGTCTTGACTCAGCACTACTGGGCTTGGGTCATTTGTATTTGCATTTAGAGGTATAGAAGTAGGTGAGACTTATTACTGGAGAGTTTTAGTAGCTGAGGCAGATCTGATTTCTTTAGGGAATTTTTGTAAAAATTGATGTATCTAAGGATCTTTCTGAGGCTGACCTCCATAGATTTATTAAAAGTAAACATCACAAAGGAAGCTGGGATGCAGGTGAAATTCATAATTTTATGAAGAATAAGCACAAACAAGGCTTGATCAATATAAGTATTAGTAAGGTTAGTGGAATGAGTTAGATAATTTATATTAACATTTTGAACATTATTATGAACACATATAGTAATCGAGCAATTTGTAATGCTCCAACAAGGTATGAGAGAAGGAGTACACTAGGTAAGCTATTTCATGATTAAATATGATCATTAAAAGAGATTAATTTTTGAAAAATGATTTTCTCAAATTTGCACTCCTTATGCTAAATCTGTAATCTGATTTTACTATTTCTAACAAATGCTACTCTAAGATAAGCATAAACTAAGAAATAGAAATAAAAAGTATTGACTTCAAACGGAAAATGTTTGCAAATACAAGAGGATCAGCTCCTGCAGACCAAAAGGGAAGGAACCGAGTGAGAATAAACTTCGCTGAGCTTCTACCAGATGAGACAAATTATCGTAATTTTGAAGTCTGTCCAATCAACCAGGCTAGCACCAAAGGTAGTCATACTAAAAACCTAATATTTAGTATTCATTAAGAATGAATTTAAAGCAAGAGGAAGCAGCAAATTTATTCCTTCTCTTAACAAGAAATGTGAGTTTGAGCCTACCAAGAAGCTCAAATAAAGAGATACAAGGGTGCACTCTGAAGAACTATTTTGAATGCAAACTGATCAGTCCAGAAGAGATAGAAGAGGAAGAACCTTCTATAGGGAAAAAGAAGAAATACAAGCTTTCTGTTAGAGAGAACCTCAGAAAATTTAGGTCAAATATTTCTAGCCCTCCAAGAGCTTTTACTAAGCAAACCTCACGAAAAGAGTAATGGTTTCTTTAATCTATAGATGTCAACCATGAAGTAGCATGAAATGAATGATCCATAATAACACTAGAAGATCTGTGCCCACAGCTCCAACATTTGGCTCTAGGAATAGCATGTCTTGACAAAACTCGGTGAGGAATAGTATTAACATCATTACCTCCCATCATGGAATTCATAAGCAGCCTAGGATTTGAAAGAAGAAAATGAGGAACTTGAAGCAAGCAAATTCAATTGTCAAAAAGTTTATGACAGAGCGGAATATGTCTCAGCCAAAAATTCCTGTAAAATCTAAGCAGGAACAAGAGATAGAGCATGTAATTGAAGAAGCAAAGAAGGGATCCCTTTCGCCAGCGAGAAAAATGATGAGCTCCCACTTGAAAACAGCTAAAAGGTTTAGTATATTGAGAGATAAATTCAAGCCAAAGGAAAATAACTTCCTCTCACTTATTAAAAACCTCAAAAAGGATATGGAGCAAGAGGAGATAGATGAAGATGATCATAAGTTGTTTCAGAATGGTCATGATCGACTTCTGGATGATGTGAAAGGTAGTCTCAATATCTTAGATAGTAAGCCTTGAGTATAAAACATAGATAATAACAAGCTCCTGAAGAAATTGCAAAATGAGGCGAAAATTTCATGGAAAAGATCAGTCCTCTCAGCCATGGAAAGCTTTAAAGATTTTAAATTAAGCTCTGTAGATGAATTTAAATAAGTCTGTTCCCCAAAAGCCTATGTTTCATCCATCAGCACCAGAATTCTTTTCTCAAATCAAACATAACAACTTCTATGACGTCCGCTTCATGCTTCAAACAAATCCAAAGCTTGTATACGAATTCGATGCTAGGTTTCAAACAGGATTGCATTGGGCTGCAAAGAGAGGCTACTGTAAGATTCTTCGTTTGCTACTGCAATATGGAGCGAATATAAATCTTAAGGATGTGTCTGGGAGGACACCTCTTTACATTGCTTGTAAGTACAACCAGACAGATGTTGTTAGAATATTGCTGGCTAACAAGGCAAATACATTTTCTAAATGCTCTCGTAAGATAAGCCCTCAAGAGGCTACATCGGATCACGCTATCCATCAGATGCTAGAGAAGGGTAAAATGATACATGTAGTTATGCGATTTATACCTGAAAATAAGAGAAAGAATGTCCTTAATGAGCTTGGCCTCAATTACTTCCTGAAGGACATTGAGAAGGAGCTTGAAGATCAGACAGCATAAATTTTACATTTCAATTTGATCTTGTATGGTGGGGTTTTGGGGTTTTGGGGTTTTGGGG